CGCTGGGTGCTGCAGGACACGCCGCGCGGCTTTACCACGGTCGTCCGGCTCCTGCTCTTTCCCCTCCCGCCCGTTTCTGCACTCCTTCCCCCCGTACCCGCCCGCCTTCTCCCCGCGCCCGTGGGGCTCCTCTGCTCCCTTCCTTCGCTCGCCCCGGGGCTGGGTCGCTGCCGCCTGTCCCCCAGCCCGGCCGGGCACAAGCTGCCTGGAGCCGCAGGCAAAGCAGAACCCGGGCGGAAAATTTGTCCAGACGAAGACAGAAAAAAGCTATAATTTTCCAGCGGGCGCAGCCCGCCCCTGCCTCTAATCAGGCTGCCGGCTGGACAAGCTCAGGAAAACGCAGCAAACTTCGCCTGTATCCCTCCATCTACATCAACGCAACGTCGGATAATTAAAAGATTCTTCTTACCCGCACTGAGCTGAGATTTCTTTCCAAATAGGGAGGGTTTACGTACATGGGGTAAGGAAACCCGTTCGCTACGTAGCTGCAAAGAAAAATATTGTGAAACCGGGGAGGTTGACACAGCAACTTCGCAAGTAGAACACCAAGATGCTATCTCTGATCGTCCTCCCAGTTGTGCTCGGCACTACAGGCACATCGCAGTGCCATCTGCCCAGGGCCAGCCGCAAAACAAAAGTTTCACATGGCAGCACAAACATCCTCGGCAGCTTCTGCAGCTCGGCGAGAGAGCTCCTGAAAGCGTTTGCTCCTTTGCAGACGGGAGATGTCAAGTTGGGAGATGTCGCAAGTGCTGTAAGAGCTTAATAAACCTCGAAGGGAATTATCCAGCTCCTGTTTCATTGCTTTATGCTTCACGGACACTCTACAAAGACCCAGAATAGTTGCGTTTTGCTGCTGAAAGTTGTCATTATCAGCTACTTCCAGTATAAATAAGCGCAATTTGATCAGTGTGCTAATGTACAACCCTCTGCTGCAGGCTCAGCCCTGGTCTTTGGGTGAATTAATTCACGCAGGACAGTGTAACTCATACAGCTGAGGGAACCGTGCCACGAGAGACACTCGGTCGCATAGAGAGACACCTTTGCATTAAAACCTATTTAGTTCCATTGAGGCTTTAAAAAGTAATCGGGAGCAGCATAGGCGGAACCTGGCACTCGCCACCACAAAAATCCCGTTCTCCCCTTCCCAGCCACTGCAGTTTAACGTGGGCTAAGTTTAAAAAGAGAGGAGGTAAAACCCGTGCCCGACTGGGATGTGAGAATACACCATTTGCTTATTTTCAAGAATAATTCGGGGTCAAAGAAAGAACAGCAAATGTTTTCGAGGCAGGCAACCAAAACAAATCGTGGCGATTTCTAGGCTTTTTTTTTTTTCCCCCTGTTATTTTAGTACTCTACCGTTCTGTTCACTAAAATCTTTCGAACACCCAGAAAGACTGCCAATGAGAACAAGATGTTTGTCTTTGAACATCACATTATCAACAGAGGTCATTTGCTATTTTTCAATGAATTATCCCTTTTATTTGTTTATTTATTTGATCAGCTATAAATGAAAGTTATTCGTGTATATAAAACTGAAGTTTTTACTGTTGAAATTGAACTGTACATGTTTACTACAGGAAAAAAAATATCAACTCTTGTTTAACAAGACATTATACATCAATAAGCAATAACCTTGTGGAGGATTTGCAGTCACCTGGTCTATAAAAACAAGCAGGACAAATAACAGCAATTTATATGCAAAAGTAATGATTTAATGACTATAAGCAAGACAAAGCAATAGAATTGTGCTTCTTTTGCAGACTGGAGACAATGAAATGTTTAACTACAATTTTCCCATACAAACATGAAACAATATCCATATAGAATAAACACCCTCACAAATGTATAACTGATGGGTGATGAACACACACAAAGTTCGACCAAAGCAAAGCACAAACTGAACAGTGTTCTGGGCTGTTCATATTTTACGGTGGAAAAGTTCCTTCTACTGAAAAAAATAATACCCTTAGAAGCCTCTAATAAAATGCACCTATTTGCAGGCCATTAAAGAGGAGGCATTCTCCACAATTTATTGGAAATATTAAAGTACCTGTTAAATTTTAATGAAGTTAGTACTGTACCATATACATATATATTAAAACAAATTTAGATAAAATGCCTTCATCCAGCGACTTGCTGGTTCCTTAAAATTTATACCAAATAGTTTATGGCTTCTATAATGATTCCATGTGCTTTTAAAAACACAATCCCACCACATCAAATAATAAAAAGGTAATCAAACAAGTCAAAGACTTCCATGTCCTTTAACTTTTTTTTTTTTCCTTCACTGCATCACTTCAACATTTGGTAAAGTAAAAATATATCACTTGGAAATAAAAAAAAAGACAAAGCCAGTAAAATCCTTTTAAGATTGCCAATTGCCTCCAGGTTATCAGAGACTTGAATGTGCTTCCCCAATACTGTAGCTCTCACACGCAAAGTGTTTCTTGCAGTATGAGCAAAGCTCAAACGGGCGGCATCTGCAAGGGTCGAACCAGTTTAGAAATTTAACAACCATATCATGAGTGCATGAAACACAATATTTTCTTTATAGTATTTATAAATATATCATACAATACTGTTTCCTGTTATGTCATATACCAATATGGCATTGTACAATAAGCATAATGCCATCTGATTCTTACAAAAGCGAATCATTTAAACAAGTCAGTAAATAAAACGGTAATACCCGCTTTTAGGCATACAGATTGTAAAACTGAAGTTTACTTTTCTTTTGATCGGTTCTGCGCAGCAACAGAGAAGTAAAAGATGCAACATAAGAATCAAAATGGCTAATACGCAAAAATTGTTATTCACAGTGACATGGCTACATATATGCATTATTCTATGCATATTCTTTCCGTTTTGTTGGATTTCAAGATGAAAAAGCACTTGCTTTCTACAGGTTCACAAAACAGCATAAGAACAATAACAATTGAAGAGAACGCAATGGAGGCATTAAGTCTGGATTAACAAACTACTTCCCGGGATTTGTATCCACTTCTGGAGACTCCCGAGTCCAGATGATGGGGACGGAAACAACTCCGCATCACTCAGAAACAGGTGAAGGTGTAACTTTTGTTTGCTTCCCAGTCCTCTGAAAAAATTTACATTTCAATCTTGCGTTTCCATTAACGTCCATCCTGAATGTCACCTAGTCCGCCTTTTATAGCCAAGTTCAGTGTCACTACAAAAGAAAGCAATTTGGACGATAGTCACATGGATTAGCATCTATAAAGCTTTAATGGCATGGAGAGATCTATATAAAGAAGGGGGGCCACAACAACCCCATGCAACGCTACAGGCTTGGGGGGGGGGGGGCGGGGGGGGAGGGCGGTAGCCTGGTTGGCACGTCAACCAGATGAAGTGGCTGAGGAGCCATTTATCGACGTTTTCCGTGCTCTGTTGGTAAAGGAGGACTGGTGGTTACTGCTGGGGCTGCTGCTGGTGCCGTTCATGGTGCTGGAGATGTGCGGGAACTGGGGGTGCGGAGACTGGACCGGCGTGCTGGGGCTGGGCAAACAGGAGGAGGTGGAGGGGATGCCTCCCGCCGGGCTGCTGGCCTTGTCGCTCCCAGAGTCACTTTCCAGCTCCCCGCTGTTATTCAAGCCTTCCCTCTGGTGACTGATCTTCATCCTCTTGCAAGTAGGTCGGACCCGGTATTTCAGGGGGAGAGGCCCGTTCTGCAAGGCAAAGGGGAGACCCTGGTCAGTGCCCGCCCAGGGCCACGACCTGCACTCCCCCGGGGGGAAGCATGCTGGCCATACGCTGGCCATACGCTGGCCATACCCACCCGCCTCCAGGTATAGATGTAGGCAATATCCATCAGGGTGTAGTAGTCCTTCAGGGGCTCTTCTTCATACATCACATCGATCTGTTCAAGATAGGAATCTTGCATTAAGGAGCATCCAGGCATTTACCCCCAGTGTATGTTTGCTCTGAGGTGAAAGTAGCCCTGCTGCCATATAGACCAGAAAACTGAAAAAAACCCCAACCCTATACCCAAATTAGCAGGGAATAGGGAACTTTCATATCTATTAGATATGTTTTGAATACATTAAGGAGCAATTTCTTTATACCTCGATAGTAACAGCATCAAAAAAATTACAGAGTGTCACCGAACTCTCCGAATAGATACTTTTAAAATAATGTTCATACTCCCATCAACATATTGCACACCCCAGATACACCTGGTAGTTAGTATTTGCTGGAACTGGCTGTGATGAGAAAATGAGCGCCAGCCAGCATTGGCTTAGAACAGCGAGACCGATTTTAACAAAAAAACAATTAAAAAAAAAAATCCCTCTTTCCCCTCAGGTACCTGGAAAGTGTTAGGTATGTCCATTTTACTCCGCAGGAACTTTCTCAGATGCATCACTGTCATCGCTGCTGGGCAGCGTAAGTATCTTTTGTCATTCACCTGATGGCATAGTAAAGAAAATCAGTCTACTGAGAGCAAGCAATTACTTCCACCAAAGTTGTGTTCTAACATTTTGTGTTAATTTTTTCACAAAATGCACTTTATTAAAAGATGAATTATAATACAACAATTTCTGCTGCCTTACAAGGAACAACAGAAATAAGCGGTAAATTACAGTTCCAGAATAAGTAATAAAAATGCAACTAAAGATTTTTACCTCACAGTAAACCCCTTTTTAGAATATATATGTATTACATACTGACGTTTAAAATTAATTAATAAATAATTTATTGCAGAATCTGCCAAAAAATCATATTCCACTTTAAAAGTGACACTGCAGGTATTTTTTTTATGTTAAAAAATTGTTTACATATACAGCTATATGAAGATGCTTGACCTCTACCTAGTGTGCTAGTAGGAAATACGTTTCTTTGGTTCCAGATACACATACCCATGTATTTTTTTCAGCTACAAACCTGCCCCCAAGATGTTTGTGTGTGTTACGTTTCCTCTAGAGTAAGGAAAAGTTATTTACCTCCTCCTTTGATTTTTCTTTCTCCTTACTTCCTTTTCGTTCCAGTCTGTGAGAAGAAATGAAACAATTACAACAAATAATAAATGTAGCTGCTATCAGCCAGGTAAACATAAAATATTGCCATTCTGGAACTTGCCTATTCTGGTCAAAGAATTCAATGGATAAGCTTATTATCTCGTCGTCTGTTATAATTCTTTTGTCTTCATCAGCCACTTCTCCCCTGTCTTCATTAGAGCCATTGGCAGCTGCGCAGAAATTTCCACAATAATTTACATTTTGAAATTCAAATCAGGAAGAATGGCAATTCTCAGTAACAAGAAAAAAAAATCTCCATTGCAAGATTATGAATTAAAGGTACCTAACTGTTAAAACAATAAACTTTTATTATGTTGAATTAAAATTCTGTCATGGTAATATGTAATTCATAAGTCAAAAAGGAAACAGCAAAGCAGCTACGTCAATGCTACATTTATTAAAGTTGCGAACGAGAAGCTTTTACCATCAGCCGACGGGTGAGCAGCATAAAAATCCCTTCTTCTTTTCATTTCATCTAGATGGAAAAGCATATATTTTTCTTTTAGTATTTACTCTGTACCTCCTGGTATTGATATAGGATAGCAGCTCTGGTTTTGTTTTTCTGCTCTTAAGAAAAAACCCGATTTAACTACTTACTTTTGAAAAGGCCTGGTACTAGCTTGTATACAATATCTTGGAGAGTTTTATCTGACCTGCAGAAAGAACAACCCCAAAACATAAAATTAAGCAGGTGAAGCGATATTTTAATCCAAGCGGCAGCTCCTCATTTATAATCTTTCACAACAATGAGGCATCTTCTACAAAGTGGGAGGCTAGTCATAAAAAGTTAACTGAGGAGACCCTGTAATCAAACCAACACTGCTCTAAGCACCGCTGTGAAACAAAACTCATCTGCGCTACCACAACTCAAAAATAATCTCCTCGGACAGAAGGCAGGCCTGCAAAACTACGTGTCCCCCCTATAATATAAAGGGAGCAAAAAGTAAGACTGACAAGAAGAGTATTTCTGAAAGGAGGAGCATGCTTTAAAGGCTTTTGCCTTTCGGCTTGGAAAGTTGCAGCAAGAGTTCTCCTGACTAGGAGCTATGGCTGGTGTGAAGCATGCCTGGGAGGAACAGAGAGCAGAGGTAAAAACTGTCGGGCTGGTGGACATGAGGGTGGGAGAGAGGGAAGAGGCGTTGCCGCGTATGCAAAAAAACCCCCACAAAACACCCAACAAAAACTTTCTGTCTCGCATCCAGAGAAATCTTCCATTTCAATCAATGACAAAACTCCAAAGAAAGAGCATACACACGCGTTAGCTTGTAAATTGGCAAGTCCTTTCAGATTTAAATCGCAGACGAGGAGATAACATCGAGGCGACTACTGCTGCTCTCCCCGTGGAGAGTAAAATAAGAGGCGCAGGGTGCGCGTCGCGTCTTTCTCCTACCTTATATTCAAAAGCGGTCGAGTTTTGTGAACTTGGACATCACAGATAGGACAATACTTGCTGGTCTCCAAGTAGCGCACGATACAGGTCTTACAGACTGGAAGGCAACCACGGCAGCATTTTAGTGATGCTGGTAGGTGACGCTCAGCTATGCACAGACCGAGGTGCGATTTTCTAAACTATGCAAGCCATTGTCAGCAGCGCGCTGCTTAAGCTAAACAAATACCCAAATAAGCTGCAATTACCATGAAAAGGAGACGCTTAGAGCACATATATTATTACTTTAACAAAGACCGTAGGGCCGTCGTCAGAAAAACTGCACCGCGGACGGGCCACCTATTTCCCAGCCCGCCGGGGAGGCGGCGGTCCCGGGCTCCGCGGGGGAGGGGAGGTGGGGGTCGGGGTTTTTTTGTGTGTGTGTTCCCGGGATGCCGGGAAAGGTGGGAAGCAGCGGGGGAAGGACGCGGAGCGCCGGGTCGTACTTACAGGAGTGGAGGCACTCTATGATGGTTGTTGCATCAATGAAGT